GATTATCATGAAAGATTCGGTGTGCAAGCCTTGTACAAAGGTATATATGACGGTTCCATATATTGGAGTTCTCATGAGTTTTCTTATTAGGGGTGCTACCCCATTTCGTATTTGAATCCTCCTCTATTCAAGGCGACCGTGGTAAGAAATATTGGTTTTTCTTATGAAACAAATAGCACTGAATTCAATGTAGTTAATTAATCTAGAGAGTTATTAATAAAGAAGAAATTATTTCTACTGGTTTTAGGTGGTTGATGATGTGGCTCACACTTTGCTAAACATTTAGCTGAATCGTTCAACGAGCTTCACATATGAATTTATGGGCTTGCAGCAGCATAAGAGACCAAAAGTGGGTCAATTCAGATTAGGCTTCTATAATAAAATAGTGTGGGCTACTGTAGAGGTATTTTGGACTCGGGACTATAAACCTTCGATTGTTCATGAAGCGGATTCGGAGCAATCTGAGTCTGAAAGTGACCAAGATTGAGATCAGATTGTTATTATACAAAATAGCTTGTCATTATACAAAACATATACTAAATAGACTGTCACTATACAAAATATACACAAAAATATACTAAATAGACTATCACTATATAATGTATATACAATCAACTGTCACTATACAAAATATACAAAATAGACTGTCACTATACAAAAAATATATTAAATAGACTGTCACTATACAAAATATATACAATATAGACTATCACTATATTAAAAAAATATAAAAAATAGACATTTCGGGCTATTAGACGTAATATGTTTTGGCCGAAGGACCGTTTCGGGTCAATGGGAGAAAACATGGGCTATAAAAATATTGAGGGGCTTTAGAAGGTCATTTTCTCATTTTTGAGCAAAATTCATTTATACCCACTCGGGCATAGCCCAAAAGGAATTGCAGTGGTTAGCTACCGAATTATACACCTGACCCACAATATACTCGGTTATCATGAAAGATTGGTTGTGCAAGCTTTTTACAAAGGTATATAAGACGGTTCCATACTTTGGAGTTCCCATGGTTCTTCTCAGAGGTGCTACCCTTGTTCGCTATTTGAATTCTCCCCTATTCAAGGCGACCGTGGTAAGAAATATTGGTTTTTCATATAAAAAAAATAGTACTGAATTCAATGCAGTTAATTAATCTAGTGTGTTATTAATAAAAAAAAAATTTATTTCTACTGATTTTAGGTGATTGATGATGTGGCTCACACTTTGCGAAACATTTAGCCAAATCGTTCAACTAGCATCACATATGAATTTATGGGCTTGCAGCAACATAAGAGACCAAAAGTGGGTCAATTCAAATTAGACTTCTATAATGAAAATGTGTGGGCTACTGTAGAGGTATTTTGGACTCGGGAGTATAAACCTCCGATGGTTCATGAAGCTGATTTGGAGTAATCTGAGTCATGAAGTGACCAGGATTAAGATCAGATTTTCATAATACAAAATAGACTGTCATTATACATAAAATATACAAAATAAATTGTCATTATACAAAATATATACAAAATTGACTGTCACTATACAAAAAATTTTGAGGGGCTATAGAGGGTCATTTTCTCATTTTTACACTTCACGGGAGGCCACCAAAGCCCACAACAAAAAATAATCCTAATCTTTATTTCTTCCAAATTTTAGCAAGTATAATCATTGCAATTAGTGTAATATATTATACGCTAATACACTCACTATATATTGATGATACACTTGTTACATTGAGTATACATTGACGACGGCTACCAAGGGTTACAGATATGCGGGTGAAACTATTTTATTTGATAGCAAATGTGAACTCAAACAAACAGGCATGTACATAGACCTTGTTTGTGCAAATAAATAGCAATACCTGGGAAACAAAGAAATATAACAACTTCAAAACGGAACAGGGTCATAGATCGAGTCCTAACATGACTTCATTCAAGAGTTACATATCCCTATCATTAAGCTTCCAGTAGGGAATACTCATGATTCAGAAACTAAGGAATAGATAAACAAAAACACAAAAACAAATATCATATACATACAAAGTACTTAAATCCTGTAAAAAAAAAAAGATCATCAAAATCATTTAATGCTATGTGTGCTAGGATGAAACCGTTAAAACATGCATTCTGCTTGTGATATATCACAAAGCAAGTGAAATTCCCTTTCCGAAGGATGCCAGGAAAAGGAAGCTAATAAGCATATCCCAAACTGCGAGTTGGCTATCATTTGTTCTCTATCTACATCCACACCAGACCATGTCAAAAAAACAGAAAAGAAAAATATGAGTGCAGAATATGGTAATCTGAATGATTAATCTGGAATCTTTGATCAGAGCATGCAAAAGGCCAGCAAACTAGAAACAGGTTCATACATATCCATGGCATCTGCTTGTTAATTCTTTCAGATGCATAACAGGTTTCATGTCTCACTGAAGTTAAATTATCCTCTTCTTTTTTCCAGATTCACAGCAGGTCTAACTTAAGTTAAACCTATTAACTTGCTAGAAACTGACATATCAACAGACCTGTCATGTTAGACATCTAAAACGACAAAGCTTCTTAGATAAGAGGAAAAGTACAGTCTCAGCGCTCCAGTAAAAGGATTCAAATTAAGTGACTCAATTTCACCCTCCCCGATGAAGGAAGATCAGATGTTTTGACTCGGGATATACACTTAACAAAAGAGTTAATGGAAGCAGCCATCTCTAAAGGCCATTTCCTTCTAACTGATCTCTATTTCTCTTGAGTCTGCTGAGCTCTCCCACTTTTCTACCTGTTTCCTTGAGTTGTGTCAGGAGACAGAGTAAATACCCCTAATCTTAAGCACTTCTCTCATAATTCATAAAGCCCCAACTAAGAACCAGAAAATGTCCTCCTACCTTCCATCTTTTTGCTTTTCGTCTAAGTTGCTTGGACTCGGGTGCCCGGTGCTGTGTCCGATACAGGTGCGGATCTAGAGGTCGGATCCTTCATGATCTAAATTTTAAGATTCGGGAGGTATGGATCCAGGTAGGAATTCGGCTACAAATAATTCAAATATCTAAAAATAAAGTTATAAGAATATGTCTAAATTATGAGACATTATGTGAAAAACTTACAATGTGTTTCGAGAAGGAGAAAATATTGATCAAGAGGAGATTCAAGGAGATAAAAGGAAAATGACTAACATAGAAATTTCTACGTACAAGATATTTCATTTTCTTCAATTTCACTTTAGCATTTGTTTTGATTTCTCCGTTGATTTTGGTCAAAGTACCCAAAATCGGTTGACCAGATCCTATACGGATCCCACACACCCACGTGCCGACACGGGTGCAACAACGAAAGTGAAGAGTCCGAACAACTTAGCTCTTCGTTACCCTCAAAAAGTTTCCTGCAAGCTGCAGCGACTTCTAAGCCACTGTATCACAGAGTACATGTCTTTTTTCTCATCGTCACAGAGCACATATTAGTAGGAGTCTTGACCATCTTTTGTACTTTAAAAAAAGGATAATTACATCATACCTGATTAGCCAATCTCAGACTTTACCTGATTAGCCAATCTCAGACTTTTTCTTCCAATATCATAATATATAACCCATATATGACCCAAAAACAATTAGACTATCACACAGAACAATGAGTGAAAAGATTTCCTAGCCACCTAACCTATATGGTTTTTGATGAACTTCCTCTTTTTTCCAAAGATATCCTTCTTTCTTATGCATTTATTTATTTATTTACCCCCTTTTTTTGATGCATCCTGCAAATGGGGTGAAGACCAAAATATAGAACAAGCTAACTAGACATTCAAGTACAGTTTCGCTCAAAGTTATAACACGTTTCTTTTTCAACAAATAAGTGTCCATCATTCCAACATGCACACAACACATTACCTTCCCAATTTCTTATTTCCCTCCTTCATTGTTAACGAACAATACTCCTGCACAAAACTTTTCCGGCCCATCAAACATGAACCGACTTAAAATTCCTGGAATCTCGTATACAAAGAGCAGAAAACAAATAATCTAGCTGATAGCTTACCTTCTAGAAACAAGGGTCTAAGAGATTAAGCCACAAAATCAAAATATTTGGTTAATAAAGCTTAGTGCTGACCAAATAATTAATAGTTGAATCTCATGCGCAAACTAACAGCTTCCTCTTGTTTCGACATCCTTGATCATTCTTTCAAAATCCAGGCCGACAAGGCTTAAAGCAGAACTTAAGGTGCAGAAAGAGCACAAAGAATAAATAAATTGCAAAAAAGAAAAAAGAACGATAGAAGCTCAAAACTCAAAAGATTGAAAATTCCTGTTATCTTTCTCAATGAATGAACGCTTTAGCTAGATTGAGTGCCTTGCTCGCTTTCAATTCAGGTATCAAAGCATTAATGCATGCATCAATCATCACCTATGGGCTATGTCTAGAAGAAGGCAGACTAAACAAAAGCTATATCTCTTAATTTCAGATATTTTCAATCATTTGCCCATATAGTTTTAGTTTGGGCTTATAGTCATCCTTTTTCTTCATTTGCGCGTTTCTTCATTAAAACTCGCACTTTGGGGCTAAAAGCCCCAAAGGACCTCAGCACTCCTTTTGTTTTTTGCCTTTAGTCGAACTCTTTTCGCTTAGAAACGCTTAGAAACACATCATTGTTGCTTCTGCATTGAGTTGTGCTTTTGTTCTCACTCGCGAGAGTAAAGTGTCAACAATTAAATGATTTAAAAAAACAGCAAACTAGTGCATTGCTCAAGTTCTTTTCAAATTCCAAGATGCACTCATTAAAATATCATTACAAAAGCATCATCCACAGTCAAGATTAGGGTTCATAATAAACATAACTTGAGATGCACAAGCTCTTTTCTGAATGTCATAATTAGTCATACTCAACAACAATCCCATACTCTCATTTCTATTTGACAATAAAGAATTAAAGTTCAAGGAAGATCATTTGTATTTTGTTATTCTTCTAAATCATGTCATTCAGGATTATGTGATTTCCCATTCTTTGAACCAAAGCACAACTCAATGTAAAACCAACAATAATACATTTTTAAGATGGAACATAAAAGTTAAGTCATATGTTCAACATTTGATGCTCAATAAGACAATGCTAGGGTGATGTCAAGCTCTTGTAACTAAGATGGTGTCAAGTTGTGATTTTGTGACAGGAATGAAAGCAGAGACTTTAGCTTAAAGTAGACCGTAGAAAGTCAATCTCTTTGGCTGTTTGGCATTACAAGAGAATCTTCACACACTCAAACTTAGATAATGGTTTGTTCAAGGGTTGAAAGTTGGGAGGGGTAGGGGAAGGAGTGCTGATTTATATTTTTTCACTCGGAATTCAGCTAAATTTCCTCTTATGTACAGATTTACCTCCTACTTTGCACAGATCCAATTCAAGTCCGCAAGGATTGGAAAGTTGGTGTCGAGACTCAGACCACTCGTAAAGATTTCCATTGCTTTTTCCCTTCTTCATTTACTCCTGTTATTACCTTACCATTTTCCAGAACAAATGGCACAAACTGCTCCACAATTAATGAAGCCTACTTGGCATGTTAATTAGGCTGTTGATGAATGTGGTGGTATCCATATTATAAAGAAAGAGAACCTCGAAATGAGCACTGGAACATGTACTAATGCTTTTCCTCAAGAATGGAACAAATACGTGTAACCATTTTGATTTGTAGCACTTGAGAAAACATTTCTTAGCACGACGAGTAAGTTTGCTATGAATAAAGAAGATGAGAAGGAACTCTGGCTTTCGGCTCTCCTGCCTTTTTTCAATCAGAAACTATCCCAATTACGCGAAGCACAAGTCTGCAACATGTAAAAGACATGCCAAGAAAAGGAAAAGAAAAAAAGAATTTCTGCTACTGAATTTACATTTTGACAGCCGATACCATAACTTACAGTCCCGGTTCTCATTTTATGAGAGGACTCACTCCAGCTAACTATATGTTGCAGCAGTTTTCAGGTACCTGCATAAAAAAGTGAGGATACAACAATTAGATTACTATTAAATAACAACCAAAGAGGGAGAGAATTAGCTCAGTTTACTGTAACTCACATTCTAAATGTTGTAGTTTTAGCATAGTTGTTTACGAGGCAAAGAATGTCATCACGTCTTCATCAAGGAATAGTTCAAAATCACCAGTATCTAATGTACTCGGGACATCAAGATCAAAGTTAAACGGACTGCTGAGTCTAGCATAATCCGGTGAGCCACCAGCAACTGGAGATGCGAAATGCATCTCAACAGGCCTATCATGATCATGCTGAAATGTGTCTTTTCCATAATGGTGATCTTCTCTGGCAATATCATTTCTACTACCATGAAGCACTGATGACCTAACTCCAGAATCCTTTGTTTTAATCTGAGGTTCATTGAACGCCAAATGAGACTGCTGTTCATCATGAGCTGACACGAATTCAGCTGACGGTGTATAATATTGATATATATGAGGTTGATGCAAGTTAGGATATTGAGATCCATGAGCAAAACCAGGATCCTGTAATTCATGATGTATGACAGAATTTTCAGGTCCATTATGTAACCCATTGTTTGGAGGTACATAATGAAATATGGAACTTCTAGGTTCATTATTCATCCCAGAAAATTGGGTTCTGCTCTGCAACTGAGTATCATGAAGCTGGTGCTGCACAACAGAATCTTGAGTTCCAAGATGAAACCTCGATTCATATGGGACAACCTCAGAGTTTTCCAACACTGGATTAATTGATGGCCCATTGCCGATGAATGCATCCTCTGTAGAGACCGCATTAGTTGATGGAACCACGGAAAGGTTAGAGTCTCTTAATTGTAATTCAGGTTGATCCTTCTCTGGTTGGCTTTCATTTGTGATGTGCCCGGCAAACAGCACATTTGAATTGTTTATATCAGGTAAGGTATTTCTAGCCTCATCATCAGGTTGCTGGTTGTTGAGAGATAGTTGAGTCTGTTGAGGGTTCGACCTAGCACGTTTTCTTTTTCGACGTTGTCCATTTCCTTGCTCCTTACCTTGGTGAGATTGAGGACGAGCATTCGATGGTTCATTTCCCCTCTCATCCCTAGATGAAACAGAGTCATTACCATCATTGACACCATCAACATCATAATCACTTTCACTATCAACAGAAGGTTTCTTCTTTTCACCGCGAATTCTATTAGGTGCCTCGCTTATGCTGGATGACCCGTTGTCACTGCTCGGTTGCTGGATAGTGGACTCCTCTCTACTTAAGACAGCTAACCATATTGAGCTCTCCTTCGCAGTCATCTTATCCTGTAAACACTTTGACTGCCGGACTAGTCTCCTGATCTTTGCGATATCAGGTGACATATGCTTTATAACAGCAGTTAGAACACCAACTTTATACATTTTCTTCAAATCATGTGGCTTCTTGTACGGCGGTTTCTGACCCTTAGGCAGTCCCATTTTTGCCCACCATTCCTCGTTTCCTGTTGGCCACCAGGGCGGTGAGACACCTTTCTCCAGCGGGAACTTCCGCTGAGGTGGATCACAATGTTGCATTAAAGAAGACAAAAGGGACCCCAACGTTGCATCTTGCAAATCCTGCAGAACGCTTTGCGGGTTACCATTTTGATTACCAACGCCCTCTCCTTTCGCACGACATTCTGCTTCATACTTTGCTATTGCAGCAGGACCGTTCTTATCAAACTTCACCTTCTCCTTCCACCAAGCTCTTATGTTATCAGACGCACCGCTCACTGGTTTACCCTTCTCTGGTATGATGCCATAAACAAATCCTCGAGCCTTGCAAACCTCCATGAGTTTCAACATGTACTTCAGAATCCCATCCTGAGCTCTTGACATCTTTTTCCGCCGAGCTTGATCGGTGGTTTGCTTATTCTTCTGCTTGTCTGCAGCTTGCTGTGCAGCAAGTTTTTGCCTTTCCTTAAGCCTCTTGAGCTTGACGCGATCCTTCCACATTCGCCTCTCCAATTCCTCGGGATCAATCTCTTCATCACTCACATCTTTTTCCTCTATATTATCGCACCTTATGTCATCGACTTCAATGTCCGAGCTGTTGCCCAATCCATCAGCATCAATCATACAGTACTCCATTCAAATCAAATGAAAGGAAAAAAATACTACATATACACCCAATAAACAAACAACAATCCTCAAAGTGTTCACAAATTCAAGAATTGACAAAAATCCAATAGTCCAATATCCAAGTTCATTTCTTGAAGTCTCAAAATGGACCCACGTCAGAATTTCCAATAATTCATGAATACAACCAAAAAGATTGTAACTTTAAATTATTACTCACATACCCAACATCTCAACCCCCC